AAAAAAAAAAAAAAAGGCAGATCCATACTGTGGCTTGAATGTTTCCAACCCTGGCCATGTCACCCAAACACCCATTCTTTTAACTCATCTCCTCTCACCTTTTCTAAATTTGCCACATGGGTCTACCACAACTGCTATATGAGCTTGTCAAGGTGACAGGATTCCAATCTAATATTCAATTATCAGTTATATTTCTATGAACTTACTGCAAATATTGGAAATAAAGTTTAAATCATAATATTATAACATCATAAATTATAAATACTTGGGAATCTCTTTAGTAAAAATATATAGGCCACTTATAGGAAACACTATAAGAGGTTGTAGGGAGACATTTAAGAAGACCAAAATAATGATAAGCCATGTTTAGAAATATGATAACTTAATGTTTTTAATAGACTTATTTTCCCAAAATTGATCTATAGATTCAAAAACAACTCATTTAGATTCCTAACTAATTTTGGGGGGGGCAGAAATTTTATAATCAATTCTAAATTTAACATGAAATGTATTGGATCTATAATTGTTGACACATTCTTGAAACAAAAATTAAAGTTGGAAACATTTATACCACTTGATTTCAAGACATATGAAAACTATGGTAACAAAAACAGTAATTCTGGAATAATGAGGCACAAATAGCATAATGATATGGGGCTTGGTATTTGATAGTGACTAGACACATTGATGACTGTTGACACAGGTATCAAAGCAACTCAAAGGGAAAGCTCAGGTACAAAATAAAATCTGAAGTGGACATAGGTCTAATCATCAAAATTAAATTTTTTCCTGTAGGAAAATACAAAAGAATTTCATTATGATCTTTGGATAGCCAAAGATTTTTAGACAGGTTCAGAAAGTCTATACTATAAAGGAAGTCTTTGGCGGAGGAGACATTATTAATATTAAACCCTTCAATTTATTAAAAGAAATGAAAGTAAAAGACTTGTAGAAATTACTTGTGATGCATCTTTTTGACAATGGACAAAGAACCTTGGTGAAGAACTTCCAAATATAAGGAAAAGAAATCTAATCAGCAAGGCAATGCACTTGAACAAAAACTTGACAAAAAGGATATGAAGGTGACCAGTAAGTACCTGAAAAAAATGTTCAATATCCTTGATTATCAGGAAAATTCAAATTAAATCCAAAATGAGATATTACCTTAAACTCATTAGAATAGCTAAAATTGATCATGCTTAGTGAAATAAACCAGAAAGAAAAGGAAAAAAAATTTTAAAAAAAATAGCTAAAATTTAAAAAAAATTAAAAGGTTGTATGGAAGATACAGAACATCTGAAATCCTTACATATTACAGGTGAGAAATCGTTTGGAAAATTCTTATGAAATTACAGCTGTACTTAAATTATGAAATTTCACTCTTAGCTATTCTACAAGTGAGTAATATCTCACAGATTCACAAAAAGACTTGCACAAGAGCATCCATAATATTTTTATGTATTGCAAAAGAAAACCCCTGATGATTGGCAATAGTGGACCTGGATATGCAAGATTTCCTGCAGTTGAGCACAGGAAATTTTTAAAGTCTCTTTATGACTTTTTAAAGAAGGTGAAACCAACATGCAAGATGAAACCAAGACCTTTTCATAATCACATTTGGACATGGATTAAAATAAGACCTACCCAGACCAACCCCTCAAGTATCTCTCTCTCCTGAATGCTCACTTAACTGTTAATTCTCTGCCTCTTGTCCTCCATACTACCCTATTACAGGACCCAGGGCACCTTTTAGATAATAATTATTTTTTAAAGATTTGTTTATGCATACAGAACTGGGGTTCAGGCCAGAGGAGCAGGGGAGGTGAGAGGCTTCACCAGAGACAGAGTGGGGAGCAGAACAGGCAGATCGACGAAGTACACTGCTGAGGGGAGCAGCGGGCGGGTCAGGAGAGGTCTGCCGCGCCATGTGGCTCACCCCCCTGGTCCAGGATCAAACTCATGCTGCAGTGGCTGTGGCTACTTTCTAATCCGTTGCAGCAACAGGGAGACCCTTAGATACTAATCACTAAGACCAATGACAGCACCGTCCTCACTGTCTTCACAGCATCCGTCCAGGTCATGACCCTTTGCATACTGACCCAAATCTCCAAACCAGGTGCAAATCCTCCAACAAGCCTGTTATCATTGCATTTGTTGTCCGGTGTTATCTAACAAGTTACCCAAAACTTAGTGGCTTAAACACCATTTGTTATCTCTTTCTGTGGGTCAGAAATCCCAGTACAGCACATGGAGACCATTTAGATGCTCTCTGGGTTTCTTAGAAGACAGCAATTACCACAAGCTGACTGGGAAAGGGCCCCAGAGTCCAACCTGCACAGCATGGTTGGCGGGATCGTTTCTCATGGACTCCGCGCTGATACTTCACGCTCTCAAAAGCTCTTTCAGGAACTTCGGAGCTGATGGAAGGACTCAGGATCTTAATGATTATCTGAGGAACACACATTTGTCAAAACTCATGAACCCATATACTTAAATCCATGAACTTCTGGACACTACATAATGATTCTCAATTGAAATCAGATTAAACAAAATTAAAATTCAAAGAAAAAAATGTAGAACTTGGAGAACATTGCTCTGATTTCTGTCATTGTCACCTTCGAGAGCTTATTAGTCTCTTTTTCTTTTGAATCTATAGCTGACAAACCGCCATTGGGATAAAATAGTACCTATGTGATAAAGTTTTGCAAGGCTGTATGTGTAAGTCCTTGGCAGATGGTGAATTGCTATATCACTCTCTGTCTTGAATAATTAATTATGTCAATATAATCTGGATTGGAGGGCTGGAAAGGGCTACAAACATCATTTCTTTTCATTTCTCATTTATAAATAAATAAACACAGATACTAGGTGAATTGCAGAAGAGGATATAATAAATGATGTATACTTGGCTATTTACTAACCTTGTGCCATATCTTAAGGTTTTCTGTCATGATCCATTAAGAACAGCTAAAGTAGGCAACATCCTCATATCTTTAGGAATTTAGCTGAATGTTTCAAGTGCATATGAAAGTCTCTGTGAATAAATTAAATATACACCATAATTAAATGTATTAAATTAATAACAGCTTGTTTCATATCACTGTTTGTGCAGCCACCCACCCAAATGATAACTTGAGTAATTTACCAGGGGTAGTTGTAGTCACGGCTTCCTTATTCCTTAGGGAAGTGGTTGTAAAAGGAGAAGCAGGTCAAATTCTAATACTTTTTGCATTCTACATGGAAATAATAAGAGAACTCTGCTTCACGATAGATAAAATAAATATATCTCACCGTACTTCATTTGCTTGATGCAACTATGGAATATGAAGAGACTGCATTAACAGCTAGTAGAGGACAATGAAAAGCAGTTA